TAGAATTATTGAAGCTAATGCCATTACAAAATGGAATAAAATAATAAATTTTTAAATACAATTAATTATATATTTTGATTGATAAAAAACAAACTTAGCTTTTTTGTTGCTATTTAATCCTTTCCTTCTGTGAATACCTGCTCTATTAGATATTCATGGTGATTATTATGATTATTAAATACATTTGATGTTGTCATTGACATAACAAAAAATTGCAATACCCAGGTAGTAACAATACCAAGGCCATGCATAAACAAAGCTCTTAATAATGCATGTCTACCCAGATCTCTGGGGTTCACAATAATAAATAAATAAATGGGGAAGATCAAAAAAATATATTTTTCCTTTGCATTGTATGGTTCCTTATGAATAATAAATCTGATGATGCTGATCACAGGTGTCAGATTTGATAAAATTTTTCTATCATAAACATGCAGGATGGTACAATTAAGCACAATTCAGCACCATGGAACTTTTTCCACAGGTGAAATAGTCCTAAACATGCTGGAAGGCTTTTTATAAGGTGTGGGAAAACTTTTATATCTTCTCCTCAGACCAGGTTCAGCTGTTACCATATATTCATTGCCAGTCACCTTTATCCTAGAAGTAGGATTGTTACAGGCAACTTTTAGGTCAGCATGCATATCCGAGTAATACTAGTTCAGGTGTTGCAAGGGAAGATCAGGTAGGTTTTGCAAAGTATCCTTAACAATAATGCTGTCATAATAAATTCCAGAGCCATGCGTCCCCCCCCTGGAATTTAGTTCCGGCATTGTATCATTGAGAGTCGCAGGTCAGATTAGCCTTGTGAACATGAAGAACATGAGAGAATTACTGTACCTTCAAGGTAGCATATTTGCCTTGACATCAACCAATTTTGATATCAAAGTTACATATCGAAATGTTTCTTCTGTAACAGTTAATTGTGCTGCCTTGACATCTTTTTAGTTATTTAATATTAGTATTAATAATGATTATACATAAATACCAATAATTCATTTATTATCATGATAAGAATTGTATAAATACCTAAAAGACATGACAAGTTCTACCTCACGTTTGATTTCAATAATAAAAAATACATATATCAATACACAAAAAAAAATTTTTAATACATCTTGTTGTTAATAAACAATAAAATCTTCTCCTTTAGATCCATACATACCAAATAACAACAATCACCACATTAACTCTTCTAAAAATATTGTTTTTCAGGAAAAAAATTTTTTCACATCTTAATATTTTGTACAACATACACATTTTAAATATTGACTGATATTTAATATTTTTGATCAAATACAGTGTAACTGAATCACTCAATTCCATAATCAACTAATTCTTTGGGAGTATAAACCTCTCCACTTTTAATTATCTTTCAACTTTCCATTTGCATTATCTTACTTTCACAATAATCGATTTATTATTTTTTCCAAAGATCAATATAACAAAAACATGCCATCAAATAATAAAAGCAACAACAGTAAAAGAAGAACAGATAAAAATCACGAAGAATCTCTGTTAGGGTAAGTGTTATTTATTAGTTATTTAAAAAGAATGGTGATGGTGACTACTAGTCTGCAACTCATATGCATTTACAATATTTGATGATTTGGTCTGTCTAACCTTGATTTATTCTCAAATGTTAAAGTGTAGGATACAATAATGTGTTCAATGTCATCAAAGAAAAAATTAGTAGCGAATTTAACTTAGGAATGAATAGTATTAATAGGACAATTGATATAAACAATGAAATTAAAAGAATGGGAATAGAATACATAAGAAACCTTGTTGAAGAAGTCAGAAAAACTGTAAAAATGAGTTTTAAATAACACTTTTGTTATCAATTGTTTGTTATATGTTTCTAAAATTTAACCTTCATATTATCACATAGGATAACAATGATATTGATGATGTTGTAAGTATTTATAAAAGACATTCTGTATTGTGTTTCTGTTGTAGGTGATGATAATAGTGAAGTGAATCTATTTACTCTATTTTTTTAATAAAACCAAAATTTAAATTACATTACAGTTTGATTACGATGATGGTGGTGTAGTAGTGGGTATTTTTAAATTCGTTTTTATTTATTCATTTGCATTACTAGAAATTTGTGTTCAAATATTTTCACATTATAGGATCAACTTTCTGATGTTGTTGACTAAAGACTAGTGCCATAATCCAAAAAAGGAAAAGTATGGTTGCAAAAGTGATTGCAAAAGTGGTTGCAAAGGTAATTGCAACCACTTTTTATATGCCGTAAATACAATTACTACCATCATCATAATTTATGGCACTAGTCTTTATTGTTGACAATAATGATGATACACCTATTAGAAAACTAAGACCACAACAATATAGACCCAGTGATACAGAATTACAAGAAATCAGACCATATCAAAATACAACAAACATTCTCCTTAGAAAATTACCATTTTCCAGAATAGTCAGTAATCAAGATAATAAAACTCATTATTTTTATTATGTTCAAATCATTTTCATGAATTCAATTTTCTTTATAGGTACAAGAAATTGCTATGGAAGTTCTTCCATCAGATAGTCAAATAGGATTTAAGTGGCAATCTTCGGCCATTTTAGCACTTCAAGAGGGTAAATATTATTTTATATCATTAATCAATTGATCTTTGCATATATATGAATATATATAATACAAGAACTTGTAATATTTTATAGCCACTGAAGCATATCTGGTCCACTTATTTGAGAATGCGTAAGTTTAATAAATTAATAATTCAAAATAGTATGGTTGACCTTCATAATTTATACTAATAAAAAACTTATTATTCATTATGAACCAGAAATTTATGCACTATTCATGATAAACGTGTTATGTTGATGAAAAAGGATATTCAATTAGCTAGAAGGATCCATGGAGGATGGAATAAATAGTTTTTAAGATAGTTAGATCAAAAATTAAAACATTATTATTATCTCGAATTTATTATTGCATATTATATTTTTATTTATAAGAGAATAGTATATTGCTAAAAAAATTAAAATAAAACAACACTGTTACCAAACTGACATATCATTGTAACAATACAATGTTAATGTTAAACAAGATTTGAACCCTGAATTTTTGATAATACCAATGTTCACTTTGTCTTGTTTTGTTGCAGTATGCCCCATATAAGATTTTAAGGATACGGTCCAGCACGTGATCATTTATTAGTAAATCCGGTTCTAAAAAAATGCCGATCAATTTCCTTGAAA